AGGGTAAACAGGTGAAATAGGTAGTTCTTGACAACTGGCTGTTTGGTGATTAACCCCTTGGTGCCGGGTGACGCCGATCGGCGTGAAAACAAACCGCTCAAAAGCTGGTGTGCAGCTGTACGCCACGGTGGCACGCCAAAGCGCGGCGAGCCAGTGATTCAGGCTGATGTCCCCTACTCACACGCTCAAAGTCGGCGCCGCCTTTGTTTGCTAGAGCGTAGTTTTTTTTTTTGTTTTGTACACCCGGTGTCATTGGGTTAAGAACTTATGGAGCCATCTATGTGTAAATACAAAAAATAAACATGTCTCAAAGTGGGTATGGTATCTATTCTTGCCACGTGTGGCGAATAGGTTAATATCAATACTTATATAATCATAACTGACATTATGATTAGCATATTATTATTAATATACCACTGACAATAAAAATAATAAAATGAAAAACTAAAAAAAATCCAAAAATCAAGGAAAAAGATAAACTGGGGAGATTGGTAGAACTAATAATTGACTACTTGGTGATTAGGCACATTTCTTGAGTCATCTCTGTGTAAACTCAATTAACCCATTGCCGGCAGGGAAAATGAACAAAAAATGGGGAAAATGCTGTGCCTATTTTCTATATTTTTTTGTGAAATGTCTGCCCATAGATGGCTCTGTTAGTGCCTGATTTGAAAAGGCGGGAAAAACGTATTTTTCACTAGTGCCATGAATATCGATGGTGTTATTTTTATTATAAACATTATAATTTTTATAATGTTTTTTTAACATTAGTAACAGCGAGACAGGCGGTACTCATAACTGGCTCATTGGTGATTCAGGACAAGTGTAGCTATCTATCTGCAAAAACAATCCAACAAGTAATCTCACAGTGGGCACGGCATGGCATGCCCGTCGGCAATGGGTTAATAAAAAATCTCAGTGGACATGCTACATATTTTCCCATCCACAGTCACTGGTTAAGAACAGCAATTCCTCCAACATGTTTGTCCACATAAGAATAAAAATAAAAAGACAAAGAAGAAGCCTAATATTTCAAGCTTCACAGTACATTTTTTTGGTTACTGTCATTTCAAGAATTTAACTCCAGGAATCTAGGTAAAGTGACTATCATGTCATGGAATAATTTGGCTGAGGATTGGGCAACTGTATGTGTCATTATGAAAATATAGCTGAAGGCTGGGATGACGGGAATGACTCACTGAAGGTGGACAAAGCTCTTGGAGGGTGATTACATGAAGTTGAATATTAGGAAGATTTTTTAAAAAGCCATGAAAGAAAATGTTACTTATCTAAATTGTCATTGCACAGACCTAGGGAGATGATATGGAGTCTGTGCAAGGAAAACAGTCTATCACCATCTTGATATAGCATATCAACTGACAAATATAGTTCTTGGAAAATGGGAATAAAAAAACCTAAAAGGTACTGATGTAGAAAGAAATAATAATATTACAAAAGGGGCAAGGCAAGGTGCCTTGACACTGTAACAAGTGTTTGTGTGAGCCAAGCCTACAAGCAACACACCTGGGAAAGTCACCATTCAAGGAAGCCTAATACTTGTACTGTGGGCCACACATGAGCAATATATTCAAATATTGAACACATCTTAAGTATCATTAAAATCAGTAAAACCTTATCATACAAAGTAATAACATATGCATTCAGTTTCATTTGTAGGAATAAAAAGTAAAAGGTAATAATATATTCAGTGGATTGTAGGTAATTGGAGAAGGAATAGAAAAGAAGAAATGAACAGGGGTTTGGCAGGATGAAGTATGTCTTACAGTACCAGAATTGCTAATTCATATGCATTACCATCCATTTCCAAGACAATGAAGGCAGGAGAACTCAACTGTGTGATTAGCTCAAGACATGGCTTAAAATGGGAGTGGGTGTGTGAAGGTGATCTCAATGTAAGGTGTCTAAATCAATTTCCTTGAAATGGTCTCAAAATGAACTAAACATTTTTTTTTCTGTTTCAATTCTTCTAACATTTCACCAAAGTGTCATATGTTTACTATATTCACATTAACAACGCATGAAATGAAAAATATCCATTCATATCTGACAATATCAAAATCCTCCAGTTCCCCTTCCATTAAACTACTTCTCTCTAAACAATGAACTACAGCATGTTTACTAAAGATTTTTTTCACAAGCAAAGAGTTTCTTTAAATTTGCTACTTCAGTCTAATAATAAAATGAAAAGAGTAAATAAGCTTTCTTCTTCTACTTCATTTTAACCCATTTGCCCCAGATTTATGTTCTGTCCCCTGTAGTTTTTTGATGAATTTTGTTACATACAGATGGCTCCACATGTGCTCAGCCGGCAAGGAGTCTATCATTAGGCCCTAGTTACCGACCCTGATTTTCCCATTCCTTGAATTGGTGGAAAAATGTGTTTTTCTTATTAACACCATTGCTATCAAAACTGTTATCATTCTTATTGATGTTTATGATTATCAAATTGTCATTAAAATATTTTAGAGAATGAAATGATATAAAAGACCCTTTCCTAAAGTGAAGGAAAAGGGTAAATACATGAGATAGGTAGTTCTGATAACTGGCTATTTGGTGATTAAGAACTTGTAGAGCCATCTATTTGTAAATACAATAAATAAACGTGTATTTACAGTGGAGATGCCATTTGCCACATGGGGCAAATGGGTTAAGATAATGACACTAGTACTATAAATTTGCACAAACTGTCCACATTTACTGTACTGTTGTTTGGTTCACCAATTTTTTACACACAGTGGATTTTCAGAAATGCCCAGTCGCCAAGGAGTTAATTACAAGAACTACCTGACCTCACCTACTTTTTTCATGCTGATTGCCTTAATTCTCTAAGTCTATTTCATTATTATTATTATTTTTTTTAGCAAGTACAATATGAGTCATATACCTATACCAACTCTATCAGCCAACGTACACCTTCCTCCAGTTCCAACTTTTCTACTTAGGACTGTCAATGTGTGAACTGAAAAATATGACCCTTGCATCTGAGGCACATACTCCCGACTCATAATGGCAAGTGCTCTGGATAGAAGGGCATACCAGATGATACGAGGTGAACTTACAGTGGAGGGGCCTTTTCATACTTCACCAAACCTCTCTTATTTCCTATTTGTTTGATTCTATCTGATATATCAAGGACAGGTAAACTCTGGCTTGACCCCCTGCTCAGCATTCACAGTGAAATCCTGCCTGTGACATATCCTGTCACATATTTTGCTGGTTCTATTGTAGTCTTTTCATCTACTTCATCATTAAATATCCAGTCTGCATTATTATTTTTCTTTTTCTACCAGCTCAGAATATTCAATTCCTAAATCTATGGTGTGGTGTTCCCAGCATATAATTATTATATGCTAGATTCTCAGTTAGACCTAGATGAGCTACAAATTTTCATTTGTGCAGGACAGTAACTCTGACAAAGTAAATGTCACTCCTGAATACATTTCTCTGCTATTACCCAATTCAGGAGTTACTTTTTTTTCCCTTCTATTTACTACTTTACTTACTTTCATTATGAAAAGATCAATATGTGCTAATTATTAACTGTTGTATATAGTTCCTCCAATTCATACTGTGCTCCTGAAAGTCTCATCTGGCCTGCTTTCTGAAAAGTTTGCCCACCCTTGTGCATAATGCCAGTTATTTTTAATACATAAAATAGCCAATTAATCAAATTTAACCATGCACAAACAACGTACATGCACACTACTGTTGTCAGTAATACTGATAGCAGGGTCAAGGGAGGGTGCAGGTGGGGTCTGCATTACGTCCACACTAACATCACCCAAGCTGACAGCATCCAAGTTGTCTGGACCACTGGCAGGATTGTTCTGGCCCAAGGTTGCCAGTTCTCCCTCATTGGAACTGCTTGCAGAGTTCTGGTAAGGAAGAAGCCATGAAAACTCTGGTGGAGGTCCTCTTCGTTTCCCAAGCACTGAAATAAAACAATTGTATAATCAAATTGTGTTTAAAAAAATATGAAGGGATGTGTTCTTTACATCCATATTTAATATTGGAGGAAAAAGGCTTTAAAGTTTGATGTCTTTCCCACTCATCTCAATGAGACATTAACCCACTGCCACCAGATGATGTGGAGCCCACATCATGGCTGATTTGGTCATGCCTCCAGATAAGATGCTATTCCTGTCATGGCTACCTTGGCCATGGCTCTGGGTGATGGGTCATTCACATCATGTTGCTATGATGCATGCAATTACATTTTATGTGGTTCTGGTCTGAGACCTGAATGAGGGCTCCTCTGCTGCTGAGGTGTTTTCCCAATTCCCACACCAATGAACTTTAGGAAGTACTTGTCCAGAAGACTAACCAGTGAATTACTGATAACTATTTACACATATTTTATCTTTTCCCTACATGGTGTTGGCATATTTGTCAATTTGTTGCCCTCTGTAATACAATGTGAATGTTTTTCATGATTTTTTTCCTACTTTCAGATACAACAAGAGATCAGCAACCACACTTCTTCATGCCATATGAATTAGTAGGTTAAAGTGTTAATCTCCAAGCTGAAGGCTTACCTTGGCCTGCACCAGTTGAAGGGCATTCAAGATAAAGCCACAAATTAAACACTACTGGTTGAAGGACCTCAAGTACTTCCAGCTTGTGTTCTCCCTTACCATGGCTAGGGACAGGTTTGAATCTATCATCCAGTATTTGCATGCAGCAGATAATGAGGGTCATTGTCAGGTCATTGGAAGCTTCAGCTGTTGATAGTTGACTTTCTTTGCAAGTTATTGTCACATCTCTCCTCTTGGATAACCACTGACAAAACTGTGAGGAGATTCAAGGGATGCTTTGCTGCCATCCAGTAAAATTGTGCCAAATGACAGCCATACCATGAGATATGTCAGCACCTTCCAGATTGAGAGAGAGAAAGAGATGTGAGAAAGAGAGATATGTGTGTGAGAGAGAGAGAGAGAGAGAGAGAGAGAGAGAGAGAGAGAGAGAGAGAGAGAGAGAGAGAGAGAGAGAGAGAGAGAGAGAAAGCCATTCCCATAGCACTGAAAGCCAATTCCAGGGAGGCAGAAAACATTACCACTGGCGAATCCCAGGGAACCATTGTAGGCCTTAGGTCTACAGAAATTAAAAAGAAACAGAGTGGTATGCTCTGACTCTGATGTGGCATTCTGCCAATTTGAGTGCTTTTAGGGTTACCACACACAGGGGAAGAACTGATAAGTTTTGGGAGTAGCAGCTCTGTGTATACTAGTAAACTTTTTTTTTCACACAAATAAAAATTATGAATATGAAAGAAAATCATATTTCTCTTCCCCATTTACACTCCATTCAATTCTTTATCACATCGTATAATCATCTGGTTCACTGAAATGGATTCGAGTTCACATGATCAGCCTCCTCATGTCAATTATTCAGACTGTCATATGGTGCTCTGTCAGCATTGATGGTATTGAAAGTGAAGTATTGAAACCATATGAGTAGCAGTCTTTTTCTATCCCTCAATTAAACCACATTCCATCTTCTACTTAAGAGTGTCACACACCTATTTATTGAAATAGACTCTAATTTACATAATCAGGTTAATGCAGGTTCAATCTAGCAACTAAAATTAAACATCATGCATCTCTGAATATCAAAACACATAATCAGGTTTTGGATACAAGTGATACAAAACAGAATAACAGCAAGGGTAAAGCATGAACTGCATCCATAAAAAAAGCCCTGGAGGAAAGTTCAGTCTAGTTCATCCCCCCAAAAGAGCCCTGAAGGTAAGTTCAGTCAGCCATACTCCCCAGAGCAGAGGAACCCAGGCACCCAAAATTCTCCCAGAGGCAATAGGCTAAGGTATCAGATATAGATATAGACATATATTTCAGTGCATTCTGGGTTGTGATAAGGACAGTCAATGAAGGCATGTGATTGTCTGCCTATGTCTCCTTGGCCTGGATTACTTTGTGAACCACATTTGTGGATGGAAAATAATTTTCAAGGCATGCATATGTTGCCATTATTCTGTAAATGATGCCTATAACAGTTGCAGATGCTATAAATCTGATGTATGTACTTGCATTTTTATGTGTGTGGCAGGGGAGGTGGAGGAGGGGTGCTACATTTTGAATAGGCAAACTTGCAACATTACCATAAAAACATATTTTCTGAAAACCTAATCTAGATCAATGCTAAAAGGGAATATATGTTAATCTAGATATAATCACAAAACATACCTTCAGCAGCTCGTAAGACTTCTGATACAAAGGTGTTTGTCCTTTGACTAAACGGCATTTCAAATAATAATCTCACTTTCCCAGAAGTGATATTCACCAAAACATCTGTGTCAACATCTGTGCTCGAAGTATCTGAAATAGAATATCATCAGTATTACAAAAACAAAACAAAAAAAAAGAAAAGAGAATGATCTTCATCAAGAGAACCTTCATTCATGGGATAACTGCTTGTATAGAATGCCTGATTGCTAAATTTCCTTAACCCTTTGCCGACGGGTATGGCATGTACGTACATGCCATGCCCATTGTGACTTTACTTGTTTAATTGTTTTTAAGCATAGATGGCCACACCTGAACTAAATCACCAATGAGCCAGTTACGATTAGTGCCTGTCTCGCCCGTTCACCCTTTTCATTGATTTACGAAAATATTTAACATTATCTTATTTTGCTGTTACAAATGTTTATAACATTATAGTAACTATAATGTTTATAATAAAAATAACACTATCAATATTTATAGTACTAGTAAAAAAACTTTTTTGCGCCAATTCAAGGTAAGGCGAAATCCTTTATGACTAAGCACTAGCAGAGCCATCTAGTAACAGAGACATTTCACAAATATATAAAAAATGAGCACTACATTTTTTCCATTTCTTATTCATTTTCCCCAGCAGCAATGGGTTAACTTACTTTCTTAGTAGTTAAAATCAGAAAACATTACCCCATTTTCAATTGATATTGGCAGTTCCCATTCCCTAAATAACTATTTGACTAACATGTTTACCCTACCACAAAACACTGGTATCAACCATCTAGCCATCAAATTTTAACCAATTTTAGATTTTATGAAGAGAAAGAGAGAAAGAGAGAAAGAGAGAAAGAGAGAGAGAGAGAGAGAGAGAGAGAGAGAGAGAGAGAGAGAGAGAGAGAGAGAGAGAGAGAGAGAGAGAGAGAGAGAGAGAGAGAGACAAAGAGAGAAAGAAAGAAAGAAAGAATAACATTTACAAAAATGAAAGAAAATTCTGCTTTTATTACTCAATAAAACGTTTTATGTTTAACCCAACGCCACTGGGAAAAATTAATAAAAAATGGGGGAAATGCTGTGCTCATTATATATATATATATACAGTAAGTCCCCAACTTAAGAACATAATGGGGACCGAGAGTCTGTTTGTAAGCTGATTTGTTTGTATGTCGAAAGTCAGGTCTCCATTACCTTTTTTCCCATTGTTTTAAAGTTTCGTTTACATTAAGAATACCGGTAAATAAATCCCAAT